TATATATATATATATATATATATATATATATATATATATATATATATATATATATATATATATATATATATATATATATATATATATATATATATATATATATATATATATATATATATATATATATATATATATATATATATATATATATATATATATATATATATATATATATATATATATATATATATATATATATATATATATATATATATATATATATATGCACATAATTGAAGTCATAATTATTATCCCCCTTGAATTATTCAAGCCCATGCTTATTTTTCCTCCAATTTCTGTTTAACAGATTTTTTTTCAGCAAATTTCTAATTACAATAGTTTTAATAACTCATTTCTAATAATTGATTTTTTTATCTTTGCCATGATGACAGTAAATACATTTTATGTGAAAGTTCTATACAGCTTAAAGTGACATTTAAAGGCTTAACTAGGTTAATTAGGTTAATTACACAGGTTAGGGTAATTAGGCAAGTTATTGTGTAATAATGGTTTGTTCTGTAGACTATCGGGGAAAAAAAATCCTTAAAGAGGCTAATGATATTGACCTTAAAATGGTATTTAAAAAATTAATAACTGCTTTTATTCTTGCCGAAATAAAACAAATAAGACTTTCTCCAGAAGAGAAAAATATTATCAGACATGCTGTGAAAATTTCCTTGCCCTGTTAAACATCATTTGGAAAAACTTTTTAAAAATTAAAAAAAAAAAATTATATAAGTACACAGACAGTGTCAAAATGATTAGCCTCCCTTTTAAATTTTTCCCCTTTTTTAAATATTTCCCAAATTATGTTTAACAGTGTTTTGCAAAATATCTAGGCAAATTTTATTTACTGTCATCATATTAAAATTTTTATGTTTGGAAATGTGTTGAAAAAAATTGTTTTACGTTAAACAGAAATTGTGGAAAAAAATAAATAAACGGGGGCTAATAATTCAGGGGGGTAATATTTCTAACTTACACTTTATACTTATATATATATATATATACAGTTGAAGTCAAAATTATTAGCGCCCCTGTTTATTTTTTTTTTACCCAATTTCTGTTTAATGGATGGAAGATTGTTTCAGCACATTTCTAAGCATAATAGTTTTAATAACTCATTTCTAATAACTGATTTATTTTATATTTGCCATGATGACAGTAAATAATATTTGACTAGATATTTTTTCAAGACACTTCTGTACAGCTTAAAGTGACATTTAAAGGCTTCACTAGGTTAATGAGGTTAACTAGGCAGGTTAGGGTAATTAGGCAAGTTATTCTATATCAATGGTTTGTTCTGTAGACTGTCGGAAAAAACTAAAATTAGCTTAAAGGGGCTAATAATTTAGTCCCAAAAAGGGTGTTTAAAAAAATTAAAAACTGATTTTATTCTTGCCGAAATAAAACAAATGAGACTTTCTCCAGAAGAAAAAATATTATCAGACATACTGTGAAAATTTCATTGCTCTGTTAAAAATCATTTGGGAAATATAAAAAAAAAAAAAAATCTAAAGGGGGCTAATAATTCTGACATCAACTGTATATATATATATATATATATATATATATATATATATATATATAGTATGTATATACCACAGCTGTTCTATTTTTAAAGGTTACATTTACATTTTTCATTTACATTTACATTTAGATTTAGTCATTTAGCAGACGCTTTTATCCAAAGCGACTTACAAATGAGGACGTATATAATGATGCTCTGCCCTGTTTTTTCCTATGCGCAGTGAAACACTCTCAGTCATTTGCCTCCTCTCGTGGAGCTTCCTCAACCAGCCTTGAAGAGCTGAGAGAAACGGCTCGTCGTCTGACTTCAGACAGCTGCTTGAGACAGAAAGCCTACAAGATCATGACCCGCCAGAAGACCCTTCAGCCTGAAGACTAGCCATAACCTGACTGAGAGAAGGACCAGAAGACGAAGTTAAGTTGAAAGTGTAGCATTGATGATTCAATAAGCGCAATCTACAAATGCAGTCTTCTGTTGATTACTAATGGATTCTGTCTCCTTTTTTCTGTAAATGTGTAACACTGTAGTATCATTAAATATAGAATGTCATTTATTTGCTTTTAATGAAACTTAACTTATAAAACAAGACTTCCTGTACAGCAGCTTTCAAAAAAATGTAGGTAAATCTAAAGTGAACTGTGATTAAAGTTGATACAGAATTATTAACCCTCCTGTGAATAATTTCAGTACAACACAAGCAATAAAATGTTCAGGATTTATTATTTACTTTTAAATACAAACGTTCAAAAGAGTTGTTTCTGTTGTTTGTCAAGCAAGTATAACCCTGCATATCCCCCTTTTATAAATGACTAATCTTTTGTGGAAGCAATGAAGCATCTGCCGCCTACATGGAAACACTAGCTTTCCATTACAGTAATAAAAGAGTGGTGCTAAGACAAAAATAGAGCAATTTGATAAGATTTTCCTTTTTTACAGGTGAAATAAGGAAGCTACAATCATCTTCATGTCATGGCAGATATTATAATTTGAACAAATCGGCATGTGTAATGTATTTACCTGTAATTAAGCTGTCAAGAGTCCTAAAAGCTTGAATGGAAGTCTATGGGGGGAAAAATGCTGTGTCAATTAAGCCATCAAATCATTAGGTCAGACTTTGATTAAAGATTACCAAAACAAACTTTTTTTTTTTTTCCAGTGGAATAACTGGCATGGGTTAATTGTTCACCTAAAGAATAACAATGTGTGCTAGCAACATAATTATGGCAAATTTAGATTGCATACAGACTGGTTTTGTAGTCCAGGGTCACGAATGTGGTGCCATCTGGATGTGCTGGAATTAAAATGGCTGCAGACTTTATTAAACCTCCCAATTTCATCATGCCTTGCTGAGTCACTGCCAGAGAGATAGAGAATGAGGATCCATGATCAAAGTGAAATGTCTTTTGCAGTCTCTTGAGGGTTATTTGAACTGAATCAGGCCGCAGATGTCTACATCATCTTCTCTACTCCCGAACCTGCGTCAAAGGAGACAAACCAGACAACAGTCAATTACGGCATACAGCTTTTCACTGTTATATCAAATCACTTATAATTAAGCTACAGTATTAGTTTTGACTGCATAACAGATTTTGACAGATAGTTCCACTGAAATAAAATGCTGTATTAATACAGTTTAAATTTAGTTACAGAAGGAGTCATTTGAAGATTTAAATAGTTATACATAGGCGGAGCGTGTGCAAGGCTGGGGAAGGCTTAGCCTCCCTCTGGCCAGAGACCACAAAGATAGCAGCAAAGAAAAAAAAACTCCATTGAAAACATGTAGCGGGTGTAAGTCAAAATCTAAATGTAATTTAATGTTGATGATTTACAGAAATCTTTAGCTATTGTAAATTTGTCACTCCGCACTAAAATGGAACTGTCCAACTCCGCCTTTTGCACTGATGAGCGATGGTTTTGACTGGAGTTTGCAGCAGCTCTAAAATGAAACCAAAAAGTTAATATATTTATTATTAGTAGTAGTATTTTATATTAATATTATTATTATTATTATTATTAGTAGTAGTAGTAGTAGTAGTATATTATTATTATTACTATTATTAATATTATTATTAGTATTATATATATATATATATATATATATATATATATATACATACATACATACATACATACATACATACATACATATTAGTAGTAGTATATATTATTATTATTAGTAGTAGTAGTAGTAGTAGTATTTATTATTAATATTAATATTATATATTAGTAGTAGTAGTAGTAGTAGTGTTATATATTATTATTATTATTATTATTAATATTAATATTATTATT